TGCTTCCTGGTCTTGTTAGGTGGAACTACACAGGAAGGATTACGATCACGATTGTACAGAAATACGCTCGGGTCGCATCGCTGCCAAAGTTTGCCTGATAATCGCACTGTTATATAAGAACATAGCATTAATGTCACCTCCAGTGACTCTGCATGCCAATATTGGTGACTGTAACACAGCACACTGTCGTTTAGCAATGACAGAGAATATATAAAGAAGAAGACTTTTTTTTTAATTTATTTATTCTTTTTTTTTATCACAGGAACATCTATGAATTAGGACGTTATCGAACCGGGTTTACACAAACCGTGCAATCAAACAGCTGTCTACCAATTACCTGAATTTTGTAACTGTAGTAATTTCAATCTCAATCTGCTATTCAGAGCCTAAATTAGAGAAGCCTCGACCGTTTCTATGTGGTTGCCTAGTTACTAACATGCTTTTACAGTTCAGTCCAAACTTGTTTTAATAAGAAGGACCAGAGAGACTCTGTCATGACTTTCCATCAACCAGAATGGTATTCATCCTTCTGATTAGCACATGAAATCTTGATTAATTTTAGTGATTACACCCCTCTCAGTTCTCTCAGTTTTGGCTCACGGGTATGACTGATGCACACACTCTGACCCAGTAAGTGGCGAGAATGCACCTAAATTTTGTTTGACACCCACAAAGCATGTGCACAGGATATGTTTATTACTGCAATCACAACCAATTTAAGTCAACAAAATCACCTCATTGCAAAACATACTGCTGTGAGCAGGGACATCAGAGCTTCTGTTAGCAACAGCATCCCTTATCAAGAATCACAGCAAAACTATGCAAGTCCACATCAGAGCTGATTGTTCAAGTATCTATTTATTGGTCTATTTGTTAGAATAATCCAGTTCATGCATGACCACACAATGTGTTTTAGAGACTGGGGCACACCCAGTTCTCACTGACTCAATATGCAAATAAGCAAGAGAAAATTGAACAGGGTGATTAAATGGCTTCTTTCAGTTTCCCTGGTTGAGCCACCTCCTAGCAAAAGGATGCCCTGGGCAGAGAGCCAATTAGCACAAACAGAAAGTCACCACTGAGTATACATAGCTATTAGGAAAGAAGGTAACAGTTGTGATGTAAAATAAAATACCAGAAAAACAAACATCTAGCTTCTCCTTTGCTATTCACTAGAGTCTGTAAGGGCAGTGTCTGAAAAAAACAGGATGAAAAAAGATTTAAAATCAACCGTTCAGTGACATTTTCTTAATCTTTTTTGAAATCATAACACTAACTATGTTGGCTGAATTGGGTGAAATTAGGTTGTGCAGATAAAAATAAAAAGCTAATAATTGGCACTGAAATGGTTCACCCAAACTTTATGAAAAAGAATTAAAAATGCCTCAGTATTTGGATACTTTTTTTGAACTTCCACACAAGCAGTTGATTCCCCCCTAATGTAAACAGAGGGGATAGATATTGCCCTCAAAGGGCTAGTTGATCTCGCTGTGCACCTGCTTCACCTGACATTTGTAGAGTGCTGCCTGTGTGATGCTAGAAGGCCAGCAGAAAGCCATCTGTTGATACTACTGAAGTAGTCTGTACATATACAGTGCAGAGTAGTCCATGGTCACTGATTCTGCAACAGGAAACATATTGTGTTTAGATGCTGAGAGGTTGTGTGAAATGTCATTTGCATCTAAATTCATTTCTGAGCTCTGTACTTTCTCTCCACTTTAACATCCTCCTCCTGTGAGGCACATCTCTAATGACATGGTCCATGAAACATAAGTGCATCGCATGCTGTTAATGAAGAGGTTCACAATCAGCTATTCTGGCGGAAAAACGAAGACTAAAACACAGCGCAATCATCAAATACTTGTGAGCAAAATGCACAACGGTGTGTTGCATTGACAGCTTGGATTTTGTGAACCTCGGTTTCACTCACGTCACATCAGATGTGCAGGAATTTCCTGTTTGCACTCACTAGTAACTTTATCTGCTCAATAGCTTGTTAAAACAAAGAGCTCATCAGCCAATCTCCTGGCAGGAAATCGATGTGTTTAGGTATCTAGACATGGTGGAGGCAACTTGCTGAAGAACAAACTGACCATCAAGAAATGGTCAGGCAGTCCCTTATAGATAGTCTAACTATTTAATTAAATTTACTATAATTTTCACACACAACCGGTTAACACAAAATGTTCTGAGAAGGAGAAAAAAAACGAATCAACAGCAATGGGGTGTGGTCAGATATAACTTGGTAATGTCAGAGCTCAGGATTCCCAGACTGATTGGAGATGATGGAAAAGCAAAAGGACAAAAATAAATAAATGATATGAACACTAAATATTAAAAAGATAAGCAGAACACATCCCTAAACATAAACCTTGAATCAGATGGGCTACAGGAGCAGAATGTAGGTGTCACCTTTGTTAACTAACAACAGAAAACTGAAGCTCAAGTTTTCTGCTTACTAAAACTGGATCAGTGTTGATTTCAGCTGCACCTTGCAGCTGGTAGGATTGGAATTTGGCATAAATAACATAAAGTCATGAATTCGCCCTGCCTTTCAGCACCAGTTCAAACTTTTTCTTCTGGGATTTTCTTCTTTACACACTTGAGCCTCTAACCGTCTTAGCCTCATTCAATGAAACTCCAAGGCCAACCTGAGTATTCGTTTCTGACCACAGCGTACCATCATGATGACAACTTCCTTCAGGAAAACAAAATATATGGCAAAACTCAAATCAGCTGACATCGATTTCTGGATGGGAGGTGTTGGAGTGAAAAAAAATTGCATCACTGACTTGCAGCAACCCCAATATGGAGCAACACTTTTGAAGAATATCCATAACTCCTAGTTGAATAAGAAAGAACTGCACATATCTCACATGCTTCCCTGGATCATCTAAATATAAGTTAGGTTATTTGTTTGCACTAAACTGTCCTTGGTCACGGTCATTGTTTCTGTGCTCCTCATAAATTCCAAGGGAATGTTAGCATGTGTGAAATAATTAAATAAAAAAAAAATGATTATGTGGGTCCAAGATTTAATATCTATCAACAGGAGGTTGCCTACACTAGCTTGGGCTTGAGCCCAAGAGATGATTTTACAATAGCAGGGATTTAATTCAAAATAAACATTCATTTGTGTTTTCTCTTTTGAAGAGGTGCTAAATTAAAGAGATCAGAGATATCATGGATTTTACCTTAGGTAATTAGTATTTAAACTGATGAAATTAGGCATAATCGGGAATAACTCCAACTGAAAGATGGCAACAAAGGCCTTCCAATTGATAGAATATATGGAGTATGCTTCAACCTACATTAGTGATATACATAAAAAAATGGCTACGTGCAGGTCTTGGTTGGCCCAGTAACATAGGAGTTAGGAAATAATGTAATACTGAATGAAAATAAATGCAAGACTAGAGGATTTTAATAGCAATCTAAAAATGTAAATAACATGACGACAAGAAAAAAAAAAAAGATTTTAAGTATACGGGTACAAAATGGTTCACATATAGACATGAAATAGAAGCAAGAGGAAATGAAATTCCAAAGTGTGGGTACAAAATTGGTCTACAAAAAGATGAAAGGGAACATATGTGTGCAAGTATGGATAATCTGTGTGTAGTGGATCTACCTGTAGCTCTTTGATGGACTGCTGACCTGACCAGGGTGTGCTCCACTTAGTAGCTTCTGACTGATAAGGCGGTGAATAATATGCACACATAGAATTGGGATGGCTAAATGAGTGAACATGTGTGCATAAGGCATCACAACGAGCTTAAACCGAGTAAAAACAGGTTTGAGCCCAGGGGCTCATATCCTCTTAAGCCTGGCCCTGTGCAGGAATTGCAGCTCCTATAGACTGTAGTGTACTGGTATGTACAGTTCATATTGATGTGGTGCAGTAACCTGCTGTGGATCAATATGTCATGCTGTTTTACAATTAATGGTACAACTCCCCCAATAAACTCAAGCAACTGGTTAGGTCTAGAACGAAAAAGATGAAATCATGCAGATTTTTTTTTTTTTAAAGTGTTCATCAAAATGGGATTTTCTTTTTTCTTTTATTTTCATCAGAAGCTCTCTCAAAGGGGATCAAGAGTGTGGCACAGGGCGGCCTGTGGGTAAGTAATAGTGCGCACGCGTGTGGGTAACAGAAGGCGCAAATGGTAAATACTAATTAGAAGTGAGAGTAAGAGTGGGTAGGTTAGATACAGTGGCATAATAGCCCGTTTCATTGCTGCAGAAAGACAACCAAGCACAACACACACTTGAACGCATGCTTTATGCTCTTTATGCTAAATTTGAGTCTGCTGATAGCAGGTGCAGAACACGATGGGGTTTGCTGAATGAAAAATCAATCTGATAAAGCAAGTCCTGGACGACTGGTCCTCTCAGAGCCACACAGCTTTGGCGTGAGGCAGGACAGCAGGATCCGTGCGACGCGCCTACAAACAGGACAATAAATGATTATGCAGAGGCACGTTTTATAAAGTTGACTGGCTTCCAAAATGCGCCGCGCATTTGCATTCCGATCCATATCAATCAGTGCACCCGAACTAGTCGGAGAAAAACAAGGGGGTGTTCTTTAATTAAAACAAGCAGGCGGATTTGCTTTCTGCATATTTTAGGGGCGGAATTTCTAATCGCATTATTTGAAAATGTGATTTAAAAGCCAGTTTTCTAAGAAAGCGAAGGACAGGGAAATGGAGATGAGGAGATTTAAAAAACACACACACACACACACACACACACACACATTGCAGCTCTGCGACTAACTGGCAGCCACATTTCAGAAGCTTTTCCAATCACTTAAATGAAAAATATTAAAAATACAAATTCAGAACGGTGCGTCTGAAGTGACATTTTTTGACGCAATCGTCCGGTTTTCATCAGCTTCTACTATGGAAAGAAGACACAATTTGATCTGCATTGTGAGAAATGGAGGCAACCACCTACGTTCAGCAAACAGATTAAAAGAGGGGAGAGAAAAAAAAACTTACCCATATCCGCTTATCTGTTTTCGCTCCAGCCTACAGGTTTTAATGGCTCATTGTGCGCGACATCCGAGTCCGCATGATGCGCTCTCCACAGCACACGCAGGTACCGTCCTAATCCACCGGTCCGCTCTCTCCGCGCAGTCGCTGATTCCAAAGCGCACCTGCCCTTTTTCACTCTCCCGGACCTGCGATGCTTTATCCGGTTTAGCTCTGCACCTATTCCCGTCCCAGCGAACCGCAGAGAATGTCATTTACTTCCCGACTCCAGATTAAAGGCTGGCAAAATCCGGCTTCAGAACTCTCTATCCATGTCTCAGAAGCAGAGCGAAGAATCAGCTTCTTTTCTTTTCTTTTTCTTTTTTTTTTAAGTAACAGCCAGAAAGAGAACTGCAGCTGGCGCAGACGGTAACAATATCACATCCAAGTAAGTCATGTCAGTCTTACATGCGCACGGAAATTCCGCGAAAATCCCGTCTGGAACTTCACACAAGCGTCAGCGTGGTATAAAAAAGCAGGCCGTTAGTTCCCATAAATATTTCTGGTAAAAGACCTTCTTCGTCTGTGTTCTGCGTGGCACGCCGAAAGAAAGTAAGCAGCAGGTTTATTCCCAAGTGAGTGTGAAGCGCTGTCAACGAGTCTCTCGGGAAAGTCATCCAAACATCCCCCTCTTCTTTTCTTTTTTTTTTCCCTGCTCAATCGTTCCCTTCCCTCTCGCTGCTGCTGGGTTTGAAATACAGCATGACGCCGCCGTTAATCACGTCTGCATGTCAAAGCAACTTTGTCAGGCAGAAGCGGAATGCCCTCTTCTGGTCAGACCGCGATCAGGGCGCAAGTCCGAAGGGTTCATCGCGCACTACGCGTCAGGGAGGGACGGTCACCCCCAGAAAGTAAAGATATAATTTCCTAAGGAATAGGTTTGCAACTATTCAGCAGCAGTTCTTAGAAAATGTCAGCTTATCTATATCTGTCTGTGTTA